GGGGCGTGGTCGTGCTGGGGTGGGGTCGTGCTGGGGTGGGGTCGTGCTGGGGTGGGTTCGTGCTGGGGTGCTCCGCACCCTGTGATTTATCGATCGGGTCGTGCTGGGGTGTGGTCGTGCTGGGGTGTGGTCGTGCTGGGGTGTGGTCGTGCTGGGGTGTGGTCGTGCTGGGGCGTGGTCGTGCTGGGGCGTGGTCGTGCTGGAATGTGGTCGTGCTGGGGGGTGTTCCGTGCTCGGGGTGGTCTCGGGGCTGGGGGCGTGGTCGTGTTGGGGCGTGGTCGTGCTGGGGTGTGGTCGTGCTGTGGTGAGGTCGTGCTGGGGTGTGGTCGTGCTGGGGTGTGGTCTTGCTGGGGTAGGGTCGTGCTGGGGTCGGGTCGTGCTGGGGTGTGGTCGTGCTGGGGTATGGTCGTGCTGGGGTGGGTCGTGCTGGGGTGGGGTCGTGCTGGGGTCTGGTCGTGCTGGGGTGTGGTCGTGCTGGGGTATGGTCGTGCTAGGGTAGGGTCGGGCTGGGGTGTGGTCTGCTGGGGCGTGGTCGTGCTGGGGGGTGGGTCGTGCTTGTGGTTGGTTCGTGCTGGGGGGGTGTGCGTGCTGGCCGTGGTCGTGCGGGGGCGTGGTCGTGCTGGGGCGTGGTCGTGCTGGGGCGTGGTCGTGCTGTGGTGAGGTCGTGCTGGGGTGTGGTCGTGCTGGGGTGTGGTCTTGCTGGGGTAGGGTCGTGCTGGGGTCGGGTCGTGCTGGGGTGTGGTCGTGCTGGTGTATGGTCGTGCTGGGGTGGGGTCGTGCTGGGGTGGGGTCGTGCTGGGGTCTGGTCGTGCTGGGGTGTGGTCGTGGTGGGGTATGGTCGTGCTAGGGTGGGGTCGTGCATTTCGCTCGAGACATCCTGCCAAAATTCCAGGAAATCGTACAAAAACAAACGAATTAGTCGAGACATCATCGAAATTCCTTCGCGCGGGGCGCTTTTCCGCGTCGCGGTCGGCTCTGCAAAACAAGCTTTTCGCTCGAGACATCCTCGGCAAACTCTGCGGAGCAAGCGTTTCGCTCGAGACATCCTCAACACACGAAAAAGTGGCCCGCACCCTGTGATTTATCGATCGGGATTTCAAAAACAAGCGTTTCGCTCGAGACATCCTCAAATTTTAATTCGCCGGCCTCAAAAACAAGCGTTTCGCTCGAGACATCCTCTAATTTTATTCTCGGGCTCGTTATTTATCAGGGAAAAATTCGCCGGCCTCCTTCGACCTCGTTATTTATCAGGGAAAAAATTCGCCGGCCTCCTTCAAGCAGGCACCGGGGGACAGGTTTACCAACTAAAAGAGAACCCTGGGCCGGAGCCCTTTCCGGGAAAAACATGATGGACCCACGAACCCGGAAAGGGATATAGACATGCGCAGCATGGTCACGTTTTCACAATACCCAACTGGGCGACATCTCACAAAACATCCCACGAGACACCCCGCGAAACATCCCACGAGACACCTCGCGAAACATTCCACGAGACACCTCGCGAAACGTTCCTCGAGACACCCCGCGAAACATTCCACGAGACACCCCACGAAACATTCCACGAGACACCCCACGAAACATTCCACGAGACACCCCACGAAACATTCCACGGGGGTGCGACTGGGTGTGGTCGTGCTGGGGTGTGGTCGTGCTGGGGTGTGGTCGTGCTGGGGCGTGGTCGTGCTCGGGGGTGGTCGTGCTGGGGCGTGATCGTGCTGGGGCATGGTCGTGCTGGGGCGTGGTCGTGCTGGGGTGTGGTCGTGCTGTGGTGAGGTCGTGCTGGGGTGTGGTCGTGCTGGGGGGTGGTCGTGCTGGGGGGTGGTCGTGCTGGGGGGGTGGTCGTGCTGGGAGGTGGTCGTGCTGGGGAGTGGTCGTGCTGGGGCGTGGTCGTGCTGGGGCGTGATCGTGCTGGGGTGTGGTCGTGCTGTGGTGAGGTCGTGCTGGGGTGTGGTCGTGCTGGGGTGTGTCTTGCTGGGGTAGGGTCGTGCTGGGGTCGGGTCGTGCTGGGGTGTGGTCGTGCTGGGGTATGGTCGTGCTGGGGTGGGGTCGTGCTGGGGTGGGGTCGTGCTGGGGTCTGGTCGTGCTGGGGTGTGGTCGTTCTGGGGTATGGTCGTGCTAGGGTGGGGTCGTGCTAGGGTGGGGTCGTGCTGGGGGGGGTTCGTGCTGGGTGTGGTCGGTGCTGGGGTGTGGTCGTGGCTGGGTGTGGTCGTGCTGGGGGGTGGTCGTGCTGGGGGGTGGTCGTGCTGGGGGGGTGGTCGTGCTGGGGAGGTGGTCGTGCTGGGAGTGGTCGTGCTGGGGCCGTGGTCGTGCTGGGGCGTGATCGTGCTGGGGTTGGGTCGTGCTGTGGTGAGGTCGTGCTGGGTGTGGTCGTGCTGGGTGTGGTCCTTGCTGGGTTGGGGCCGTGCTGGGGTGGGTCGTGCTGGGGTTGGGTCCTGCTGGGTGTGGTCTTGCTGGGTGTGGTCGTGCTGTGGTGGGTCGTGCTGGGTGGGTCGTGCTGGGGTGTTGGTCGTTCTGGGGTGTGGATCGTCTGGGGTGTGGTCGTGCTAGGGTGGGGTCGTGCTGGGGTGGGGTCGTGCTGGGGTGTGGTCGTGCTGGGGAGTGGTCGTGCTGGGGTGTGGTCGTGCTGGGGGTGGTCGTGCTGGGGAGTGGTCGTGCTGGGGGGGTGGTCGTGCTGGGAGGTGGTCCTCAGAATTCAGGTCCCCAGGAGAGGACAATCTATAACACAAAACAAGCGTTTCGCTCGAGACATCCTCACCATTTTCTGAAAAACAAGCGTTTCGCTCGAGACATCCTCAAATTTTAATTCGCCGGCCTCAAAAACAAGCGTTTCGCTCGAGACATCCTCTAATTTTAATTCTCGGGCTCGTTATTTATCAGGGAAAAATTCGCCGGCCTCCTTCGACCTCGTTATTTATCAGGGAAAAAATTAGCCGGCCTCCTTCAAGCAGGCACCGGGGGACTTGTTTACAAACTAAAAGAGAACCCTGGGCTTAAGCCCTTTCCGGGAAAAAACTACGCCCGCGCTCCCAGGGCCACGATCCTTCGTAAATTACGCTACGTAAGCGCTCCCAGGGCCACGATCCCTCGGAAGGGCTCCTGGGCCCTCCTGGGTCTTCCTTGGACCTTTTGGGCCCTCCTGGGCTCTCCTGGAGCCTCCTGGAGCTTCTCCTGGGCCCTCCTTGGGCCCCCTGGTGCCTTTTGGAGCCTCCTGGGTCCTCCTGGGCCCTCCTGGGCTCTCCTGGGCCCTCCTGGGCTCTCCTGGAGCCTCCTGGGCCCTCTGGGCGAAGTCAGGGTCCGAAAACACATGGGACTTGCCACATTTTTGAAATTCGGTGCCACCCCTCACGCAGGTCGGCGGGGTCACGATCCGAAAACACAGGGGATTTGCCACATTTCTGAAATTCCGTGCCACCCCTCACGCAGATCGGCGGGGTCAGGGTCCAAAAACACAGGGGATTTGCCAGATTTCTGGAATTCCGCGCCACCCCTCACGCAGATCGGCGGGGTCAGGGTCCAAAAACACATGGGGTTTGACACATTTCTGGTATTCCGTGCCACACCTCACGCAGATCGGCGGGGTCAGGGTCCAAAAACAAATGGGATTTCTGTTATTTCCGAACTTATGCAACTTCAAGAATCCAAAACTCAGTTCCCAGCGCCGTTCCGGAGGCCGCGGCACCTCGTTATTTCTCGAGCGAACGCGTTGACCTCGTTTTTTATCGTTTAAAGTCGATGTCGGAAAAAAATGGACTCCACCTGTGAAATATCGAGGTTTCCTTAAAGGCAGTAAAATTCCAAGAGCACGATCTGCGTGAGAGGTGGCGAACAATTGCCTTTGTCCTCGCAATTGAAATCCGCCGGCCCCCTTCGACCTTGTAATTTATCGCACAAGAATTCCGCCGGCCCCCTTCAAGTAAAAACCGAGGGGGAAGACCAACTAAAAGAGAACCCTGGGCCCATGCCCTTTCCGGGAATTAGTTTGTTTCGCTGCCTTCGTTTTGTTTTCTTTTGTTGGAGAAAAGCTAGCCCCTGAGGGGGGGGAGGGACAGGAGGGGGCGGGGAGGGGGAGGGAGAGGAGGAGGGGGGGGAGGAGGAGGAGGAGGAGGAGGAGGAGGAGGAGGAGGAGGAGGAGGAGGAGGAGGAGGAGGACCTCAATGTAGAGGTACCTGCCCTTTTTTAGGGGGTCAAGCTTAGGCCCCAGAGGGGAGCGGGGACGGGGAAGGAGAGGGCGAGGATCGAGGAGACGAGGGAGGGAGGGGGGGGGATACAAGTGAAGGCCTAATTAACATGGAAAAACCAATTGCTTTGTTTGGCTGCCTTCGTTTTGATCCGTCCTGTCCTGTTGGAGAAAAGCCAGAATATCACAGGGAGGGGCGGACGGGGGACGAACAGGACAGAACAGAAGAAGAGCGGGAGAAGCGCCGAGTGCCGCGGCGACATCCGCGTCGAGCGCGCGGGGCCCTGCTCGTCCTTTCCTGGCCCTCCCCCTCCTCTCCCCGCCCTCCCCTCTCTTATTTGTTGTTATCTCTCTCTCTCTCTCTCCCTCTCTCTCTCTCTCCCCCGCGCACTCGCGCGCACTTTTTTGCAGCTCACGCAACCATGTACTTCTGAAGAAAGGCAAAATAAAATGTGGGCCCGTGGCGAGCTGACTTCGCAACGGCGGCCAGCGCACGATTGGCCCCCTCGTCGATATATGTCCAGTAGAACCCGGGGTTACCCAGGACCCTGGCGGACATCGCAAGGCGATGGCACATGTGGTGCTTGTATGCGCAGTGGCCGCCAGCGGCCTTCCAGCACTGAAGACATGCCAACATGCTCGCTCCCATGCCCCTTTGGGACTGGACAGGCATTAGCCAAGGGCTGCGCTCGATAAGCTGGCGAAACTTCAACAGGGGCGCGCGCGCGGGCGGGGTGAAAACATTAGCGCCGTTAGCAAACGCTGCAGCATTTTCAATACATAAAGTAGGGAGAAGGGGCACAAGGTGCCTTGCATCGGCGGCCTTGGCGCGGAGCCTCGGCTGGTGCACGTCCCCAAGCATGTTCAGGCTAATCCTGAATATTCTCGACTGGGATCCACGCGCAAAAAGGGCAGCATTGGCAAGGTAGCATGCATTCATTCGTCGCCTCAGGTGGATCAGGTTGCACACTCTACGGTTGATCATTGTCCGAGCAGCACTCCTTGCAAAGTTTGCCTCCGTGAGGGCCCAGAAGACCGTGGCCACCAGCCTCTGCGTGCAGCCGAGATCCAGCGCGCGCATGATGTCCAAGCGCGACACCGTGAACCCCGCGACGCCCAGGATGGGCGCCGCGAAGTCGATCCCCGCATGGCTATGAACGTCGAAGAAATGCAGCTGAACAGGGCGACGTGGACCGATCTGGCCCCCCACCTCGCCGAGCTCATGGGCGTCGGTGGCAGCGCCCCTGTGGGGGCAGTCTGTGCCCCGACGGCAAGCCGAGCTCATTGAAATTACACCAGGTGCCCAATCCCCACAAGTCAGGATCGCGGCGGCAACATCTCAGCAAACGCTTGAACTGTGCCTTAGAAGTAATTGGAACCATCTTCACAGCTGAGCGCATCATCTCGGCGTATTCCACGGGGCCCTTGTCTACCCATGGGCAGCTCGCCACTGACAGAGGGAACTCAAACAGCTGGTCCCTGTGGCAATTGCATGCCCAGCAAGGGTGTTCCACGTGATCCCACAGCATGAATCCACACGCCTGGTGGATCTCCAGCAGATCAGCTCTCATCTCGCAGACGGCGGCGCATAGCCCGCCAGCCAATGCGAAGCCACGTTTAGCAGCGCGGATCTCGTCAGCGAATGGCTTGTCGTCGTGGCCACGGTCGGGGAACAGCCCTGTGGACACCACATTAAATTGCCTAAACTATGATTCTCATGACGGCTGCCAGGGTGCACATCCCTCGGCAGCCGCATTGACATGCATCGCTCTTTCGGGCGATGGCGATTGTGCGGCGGGCCGAGGCCACAAAGTTGCCCGACGAAAATGCAATGAAGCTGTCTTTCTTTGTGCGGGGTGCTCCGTCGGAGTAGTACCCCACTGGGAAAGCAAGGCCGCCTTTCATAAGCTTCACTGCGCGGTTCTCGAAGTGTGGCGGCACGTGCCGAGCGCCCAGGCGGCGAAGATCATAGTCTGAAGGGTTTGCCTCGTAGGTGCCGCTGAAAGTCTCGTGCGGTAGAGACACGGGGAACTTGCTGTAGGTGCGCGTCTGGGTGCCTGAATCCCACATGGGGACCTCTGTGGTGTAAAACGCCTCGTCTGCGTTCATCCCAAGCGCTTCCGACTATGGTGGGCGCGGCGCGCTGAACCTGCAGGGCCACATGCTGAGTCGCCCAGGCCACGGGGCCCAGCCCTCGCGCAGTGCCATGCGATTGTGCACGCATCCTGCCGGGGAGGGGTGGGGATCGACACCATCCTCGGCCGCTCAACGTTCGAATGTTCGGGGGCGGCCTCGGTGGATAAAACTATCGTGGGTCACGCATGGGCCCCAACGGATATCATCGTCGATCGATCGATTCGATCCCCACTTGATGGGGCGGGGATGGTGGTACGATCTCCCATCCCTCCCCCCTGTCCTGCGCCGCGACCTTGCCCTCGCCCCACCTGGTGAGCAAGTGCTCTCGCAACCCTTCCCCGTGAGGGTCCGCGACCTGCTGTGCTGACCCTGACGCACCGATGAACGCCGATGCTGCTGCTGCACGGGCTGCCATGGTGACAGGCGGTCTAAGCTTGAAAGGCCGATGGTGCAATCGATGGCGGGTCGGTTCCAAGGATCTCCAAAAAAAAAAAAAAAAAAAAAAAAAAAAAAAAAAAAAAAAAAAAAAAAAAAAAAAAAAAAAAAAAAAAAAAAAAAAAAAAAAAAAAAAAAAAAAAAAAAAAAAAAAAAAAAAAAAAAAAAAAAAAAAAAAAAAAAAAAAAAAAAAAAACAAAAAAAAAAAAAAAAAGAAAAAAAAAAAAAAAAAAAAAAAAAAAAAAAAAAAAAAAAAAAAAAATAAAAAAAAAAAAACAAAAAGCTTGATCGCGCCAACGACTACGGGCAATGGATGCGGAACCTGGGGATGTGAGGATGTCCCAAGCGATCGAGGCCGCCGATCTTTTCCGATGTGATGCGAGGATGTCTCAAGCGCCCGATGTCAACCTATTTGGATCGGAGGTTTCCAGGAAGGCTTCAAAGAAGGCTTCGAACACGAGGACGGCACAGGTTCACTTCCTCACCCCGCCGCCCTCGGATCCGCACGAGGGCCTGGGCTGCGCTCGTCGTCGATGCACTCATCGTCAACAGCGAGGGCTGATCATTGAAAGCGAATGCGACCGACCGTGGCTGCACTCATCGTCAAGGAACCAAGGGGTCTTTCTGGCCACGGCGGGCCAAGGCCACACACATGTTCCACGAGCAGTAAATCAAGGAACGGCCAGAAAAGCACAGCCCCTCCTGAGCCCAATGATGTCCTCATATCAGCGTCTTGGCAGTGCGCGCGATGCTTCGAGATCTCTCTTGCAAGCGGCTGCCGCCTGTTCTCCGCCATCTGTGCTCGACGTGAGCGTCTGGCCTGCTGGTCTGGATGCGCACCCACAACTCCCCTATCCATATCTCTCGACTTTCTCCACGTGGTACCTCTAAATCCTCATCTTCCGTCCTCTCCTCGATCTCCTTCCGCGCCGTCCCAAATCCCCTACTCGAGCTCAATCCTCCGCGTCCTCTTCCTCGTCCACAGCGCTGCCGAGAGGGATCTCTCGGACCCACTCACCGTCTCGCATTGCATTGCAACGCAGTCGCCGCACGCTGGCTCTTCAAATTTAGCTACCTGAGGCTCGCGGGCGCGCCCGCACTTCACAGGTGCACACCCGAGCTCGAGCGAAGGGCCAGGATAGACCGATGCGCGAGTCGAGGTTCCACGTCGATCTGCGCAGCGCTCAAGGGTACATCGACTCATCTACACCTCATCAGGCCCATGTACCCATAAGACGTTTGCGATAGGGGGGTCGATGGCCATATGACGAATTCTCGACAACATCGACGTACATTTAGGCTGACCATGGAATGCATGTGCGAGCGACAGTTCGAGACTCAGGTACTATATCTCCTTTGCACGCAGCAGGCGCGGCGCCTGCAGCCCGACCTCCGATAACCCATGTACATGGGCATCCTTCCCCCTCTCTCCCTCCCCCGTTTCTGCTGCCTCCTACTTTCTCGAGGCACTCCTCCACCCTACTCCGCTTCCCTTTCTCCACCTCCCTTCATCCTCACCCCCCCCGCCCCCGCCCTCAAATCTCACCTTGTATAACGGGCCGGAGGACGGGGTCCAACATCTAACCAGATCATGGCGAGCCATCGCACTGCATGCAGCGCAATGCATTCAGCGCGCGCTGCGACCGCACGCTGGCTCTTGAAAGTCAAGTGGCCCGATCGAGGAGCAAGGAGGCAGGCGCGCGCGCACGTGCGCGCGCGGATGCATGGCGCATGCAATCGCGCACTCGAGCGCAAGACGAGCGCACAACGCACAAGCGCGCACGCGCGGCCACGTGTTGCCTATAGATGCGCTCGAAGCCTCGGGCCTGCATTCGTCTGGCGCCCACTGCTGCGCTGAGTCTTGCAGCGCAGTGGTCGCCGCGCTTGCCGTCGCCATCGCTGGGCCAATCAGGTTCCGCACCCGCGTCGCCTCGCCGACGAGGGGGGTCAATCGGAATCGATCGATTTTTTGATACTCGATCGACAGTCCCAAATCGTTCGGAACATCCCTCCACGATCGTACACACCTAAATTGCCCTCGACGTTCCTCGCACTGAATTCCCCCTTTTCCATTCCTCCCCATGCTTATAGAATGCAACGCCATCGGACGGTCTGCGTGCGAGTGCAAGGGCGCCTTGAAACAGGAAGCGTTCGTGTGCATACACATATATGTTTTATATATGCATACATGTCTATATGCATATATATATATATATATATATATATGCGTTTTTGTGTCCACACAGGTGTTCCTGATAGCCCGACGACGGCCAGGGCCGCTCGGTGTGTATATGTGTATATGTGTATATATATATATATATATATATATATATATATATATATATATATGCACGCGCTTGACTGTAGAGGGCCCCCGCCGACCGTGCGGCGAGCGCGCCTCCTCGAGGCCAACCATGGTGTCCTCGAGGTTCGGAACCGACCTGGCTGAATGGAGGGCTGGGGTGATGGGCAACGCTGCATGCAGCTTTAGAAGAGAGGTCGGGAGTACAAACATCGGATCAGCTATGAAATTCGGTGATCCCCCAGGGAGCACTGCAGGGCCAACGTCGCCCCGCAACCGTCCCCAGGGAAGAGAGGGGCTGAATGAAATGGGACCGATCGAGCCCCACGGACAGGAGGCCTGATTCGAGATCTTGCCGCTGCTCGCCTCGAGGGGCCCTCTCACCCTCCATATATTGTTTGCTCTCATCCCTGAATGCGCAGCAATGACATGATCGACCCACGAACCCGGAAAGGAATATAGACATGCAACGCATGGCAACGTTTTCAAAGACACCTGATTGGGCGACGCGCAAATGCAATGCTGATTGTATCGATCTTGATGTACCGTGCCGAGGGCTGCGCTGTGCTGCACCGTGCTGAATTGCGATGTGCCGTGCCGCGGATGTGCTCTATAGCGTCGTGGACCGAGTCTTCCTTTGCATCCGAGTCCTGATCGAACTGATCTGGATCTGAAGCTCTAGCTGCCTGAACACATAGTAGCTGCCCCAGAGCTAATTGACAGGGGGGCATGCCAGGAGGACGCGCCGCGAAACGTCCTAAGGGGCGCGCCAGGCGACGTGCCAAGGGACGCGCCACGGGGTCGCACCATAGGACGTGCCAAGGGGGCGCGCTACGGGACATCATCAAAATTCCTGCGCGCGGGGCGCGGCGCGCGCGAGACATCCTTGGAATTCCTGCGAGCGGGACACGAAAACAAGCATTTTGCCTGAGACATCCCCTGAATTCTGGCCCCCCACGAAGTCCCCGCTCGAGACGCCCCCAAATTTGGCAAAACAAGCGTTTCGCTCGAGACATCCTCAACAAAGTATGAAAAACAAGCGCTTCGCTCGAGACATCCTGCCAAAATTTTAAGAAATCCTGACAAAACAAACGAATTAATCGAGACGTCCTCGAAATTCCTGCGCGCCGGACGCGGCCCGAGCGAGACGTCCTTGGAATCCCTGCGAGCGGGACACGGAAACAAGCATTTCGCCTGAGACATCCTCTGAATTCTGGCCCCCGCGAAGCCCCCGCTCGAGACGCCCCAAAATTTAGCAAAACTAGAGTGTCGCTCGAGACATCCTCAACACATTTAATATGTGTATATATATATACACACATACACACACAACAAAAGGGAGGGACAACATGTATATATATAGTATATTATATTATATTTTTAACAAAAAAAAACACTCGAGACATCCTGCCAAAATTCAAAGAAAACCCATCAAAACTAATTAATTAGTCGAGACATCCTCCAAATTCCTGCGCGCGGGGCGCGGCCCGCGCGAGACATCCTTGGAATTCCTGCGAGCGGGACACGAAAACAAGCATTTCGCCTGAGATATCTTCTGAATTCTGGCCCCTCACGAAGCCCCCGCTCGAGACATCCCCAAATTTTGCAAAGCCAGCGTTTCGCTCGAGACATGCTCAACAAATGTCATATATATAATTATATATCTATAAATAATTATATATACATATATATATATAC